TGATAGGGGGCATCCTTGTCTTGTTCCTGATTTTAACATGAAATTTTTTAGTTTTTGGCCATTTAATGTGATGTTGGTTGTTGGTTTTTCATAGATAGCCTTTATTAAGTTGAGATATAGACCATCTATTCCAATTTTTTTCAGGGTTTTAATCATGAATAGGTGTTGAATTTTGTCAAATGCTTTTTCTGCATCTATTGAGAGGATCATGTGGTTTTTGTCCTTGATTTTGTTAATGTAATGTATTACATTTATTGATTTATGTATGTTGAACCACCCTTGTATCCCTGGAATAAATCCGACTTGGTCAGGATGTATGATCTTCTTGATGATCCTCTGTATTCTGTTTGCTAGTATGTTATTAAGGATTTTTGCATCTATATTCATTAAGGAGATTGGCCTGTAGTTCTCTCTTTTAGTTGCATCTTTCCCTGGTTTGGGAATCAAAGTGATACTTGCTTCCAGGAATGAATTTGGAAGTATTGCTTTCCTTTCAATTTCATTGAAAAGTCTGAAGAGTAATGGCAGTAGTTCTTCTCTAAATGTCTTGTAAAATTCAGCAGTGAATCCATCAGGTCCTGGGCTTTTCTTTGTTGGTAAGTTTTTAATTACATTTTCAATTTCACTGATTGTAATTGGGGTGTTTAAAATGTTTTTATCTTCTTCGTTCAACTTTGGTAATTCATAAGTATCTAGAAATCTGTCCATTTCTTCTGTGTTTTGCATTTTATTAGAGTACAGGTTCTCAAAGTATGTATTGATGATCCTCTGGATTTCTGTGGGATCTGTTGTGACTTCTCCTTTTTCATTCCTGATTGCGTGGATCTGAGCCTTTTCTTTTCTTTTTTTTGATAAGGTTTGCTAAGGGTTTATCTATTTTGTTTATTCTTTCAAAAAACCAACTCTTTGATTCATTTATTTTTTGTATCGTTTTCTTAGTTTCCATTGCATTGATTTCTGCTCTAATCTTTATAATTTCTCTCTTGTTTGAGCTTTGGGTTTTTCTTGCTCTTGTTTTTCTAGGAGTCTAAGATTCATCGTTAGGTTGTTTATTTGAGCTTGCTCTGTTTTCCTAATGTGGGCATTCAGTGCTATGAATTTTCCACGTAGAACTGCTTTCATTGTGTCCCATAGATTCCTGTATGTTGTATTGGCATTTTCATTTATTTGTAAAAACTGTCTGATTTCTTCTTTAATTTCCTCTGTGATCCAGTGATTGTTCAGGAGAATGTTGTTCAATTTCCATGTGTTTGTGAAGTTCCTACGGTTTCCTATGCTATTGATCTCCAGCTTTATTGCACTGTGATCTGATAATATACAGGGAATAACGTCAATTCTTTTGCATTTATTCAAACCTGTTCTGTGAGCTAATATGTGATCTGTCTTGGAGAATGACCCATGTGCAGCTGAAAGGAATGTATATTCTGATTTTGTGGGGTGGAACACTATAGACGTCAAATAAGTCCATGCGTTCAAAAGCTTGGTTCAATTCTAGTATTTCATTGTTGATTTTTTTCCTAATCTGTCTATTTGTGATAGTGGGGTATTTAGATCCCCCACTACAATTGTATTAGTGCTTATTTGGTTTTCATGTTATTTAATATTTGTTTTATATAGTTTAGGGCATTTATATTTGGTGCATATATGTTTATGATTGTCATTTCTTCCTCTTGAATCGTTCCCTTTACAAGGATGTAGTGGCCTTCTTTGTCTCTCTTAATCGGTTTTGGTTTGAAATTTACTTTGTCTGCGAATAATATTGCTACCCCTGCTTTTTTCTGGGCTCCTGCTGCATGGAGAATTGTTTTCCACCCTGTCACTTTCAGTCTACGGGCTTCTTTTTGCACTAGGTGTTTCTTGTATACAACATATTGTTGGATTTTGCTTCTTAATCCATTCTGCCAATCTATTTCTCTTGATTGGTGAATTGAGGCCATTGACATTTGTGGCTGTAACTGATATGTATTGACTTATTATTGTCATGTTATTGTCCTTTTGTTGACTCTTTTTAATTTTTTGCCCTCTCCTTTTAGTTTCTTGCCTTGGCTATTTGATTTGCTCTGTTGGGCCTCATGGTGTTGTGATCCTCATTGTCTTTTTCTAGGATATTGTTTAAAATTCCTTGCAGTGCTGGTTTAGTATTCATGCAGCTTCTCAAGTGTTCTTTGTCATGGAAGTATCTTATTTCTCCATCCATTTTGAAAGAGAGTTTTGTGGGATACATCAGTCTTGGTTGGAGGTTGTTTTCTTTTAGGACTTGAAATACCTCACTCCAGGCTTTCCTTGACCCGAGGGTTTGTGTTGAAAAATCTGCTGTGATTCTGATGGGCTTTCCCTTGCATGTGATTTGTTTCTTTTCTCTTACTGCTTATAGTATTTTGTTCTTCTGTTGGGTTTCTGGGATCTTGATTATTATATGTCTAGGTGTAGATTTTTTTTTACTGTGGCTAGTTGGAGTCCTATAGCCTCACTTATCTGCATGTCAAATTCTTCCCCTCTGTTTGGGAAGTTTTCTGTCATTAATTCTGTGAACAGCTTTTGAAAGTCATTTGCATTTTCTCCTGCTACTTCATGGATTCCTATCAGTCTTATGTTATTCTTTGCATCGTCTAGGAGTTGTTGGATCGATTTCTCATGATCCCATACTGTTTTTAAGAGACCTCTCTTTTCATGGTCACTGTCTGCAATCCTGTCTTCTATATCTGAGATTCTATCTTCACAATCTTTTATTCTGTTGTGTATGCTTTCAGTAGAGTTTTTAATCTCCTGGATATCTGTTTGAATCTCTTTAATGGTTTCCATTTCTTTCCTATGTTGCGTGTTCATTGTTTCCATTTCTTTCTTATGCTGGGCCTTCATGGCTTCTATTATGTTCCTGAGCCCATCTATTTTTTTTGTCAGTTTCTGTTCTAGAGTCATGAATCATGTCTTTCATTTTGCTCACCATCTCTATGGTTATCTGGGAAATTATTTCTGTTTTGAATTTTTCTAGAGCTTGATTGATCAGTTTTATTACTTCCTGTGCTGTGAGTTCTGAGTGTCTGGTGGTTCACTGTCAGGCTTTTCATCCTCCTTTGCCCTACTGTTTGCCATTGGTGAACTGGAAGTCTGTCTTTGTGGCTTGCTTAAGTGTTTTCTCATCTTTATTTTTGCTGTTGGATTGACCTTGATTCATTCTCTGGGTCATTAAGTCTTCCTGATATCGTTGCGTCCCAGCCTTTGATTCTCTAATGAGTTATAGACATTCTCATTTTCATAATAGAGGAAACAACTGGTCAAATCAATCCCTATCCTTCATCCCAATTGATAAAATCAGGAACACAATAGGATCAATCACCACCCTTTATAGCCAGCCATGCCTCTGCAGAGTGTGTCCAAAGACTGCCACAATCAGGGGATCTGAGAGTGTGCGGGGGTGCTCTGTGGTGCCTGTGCGGCTACCCTCTTGGTGCTGGATCAGGAGCAATGGCGCCCTCAGGAAAAGGCGCAGCTCCGCTGTACACTGGGCCCAGGGTGGCGAAGGGAGATCTGAAGTCAAAGCCAGCCGCTTTCCTGAAACTCACCCTCTTGGTGCTGGGTCAGGAGCAATGGGGCCCTCAGGAAAAGGTGCAGCTCGCGGACCTGTACACTGGGCCCTGGGTGGCAGAGGGGGATATCAAGTCCAAGCCAGCCGCTTTCCTGAAACTCCTGCATGCTATTTTTAAATACAATATTTTTTATTGAGTTTATTGGGTACATTTTAGGTATACAGTACAGTTACATTCATTATTGGGATCTTGTACCTTTACATGACAGGTCTTGGTTCTCATTTTTTCCCCTTGTCCCTGCCCTCCCTTCCCCCTGTTTGGTGTCTTTGACCGTAGCTGGTACTTGCTAAGTAACTAAGGGCTGGATGATCACTTGCAGCACTGTATTTGGAATGGAGATTTGTAATTTACACATGTACACTGGTGAAAGGACGAAATTATCTTCCACTTATTTTTTTCCTTTTTTTTTTTTGTGGTACTAGGGATTGAACTCAGGACCTTGTGCTTGGGAGGCAGGCATGGCACCACTGAGCTAAATCCCCAGCCCAAATCCACCCCCCCTACCAAGGATTGAACTCAGGACCTTGCACTTGCCAGGCAGGCGCTGAACTACATCCCTGGTCCTCTTCTGCTTAATTTTGTGCCTTCATTTATTTTGTTAATTCTGTATCTTTGAGTCATTTGCTTTAGGAGAGGTGATTTAAAACACTTTCTCAAGTTATCCTTTGAGCCTGGCTGTTAGGAAAATAAATGCTTCCATCCATGTGCTCAGTGGGCTACAAGAGCAGCTGGAGCCTGGGAGGGTTACAGCTTGGACTTCCTGCAAAGGCTTGAAACTCTGCACTGCTCTTGAAGACCTCTCCCACATGCACCCTGTACGTAAATAGAAGCAGACCTGATTTGGCACCGGAATAACCTGAAGTCACAGGCAGACTGGGTGGCCTGGCTGTTGGAGCCGGTGTTCCCTTTGGCATTAAGCGCTGGTTATGGACCATTTTGAATTATTGACTCATTCAGCTCTGCGGAGGGGACAGAGTACAATGTATGCATCCAGTTCCTTGAGGCTAAGTTGCAGGTTGGAAATCAACTTGTATCACTGAAAATTGCCATACAACCAAGCAATTTTGCAAAGCTCTTGGAAGTGGGAGAATAAAATGATCATTATGTAGTGAGGCCTAATACCCAGGTAAGCCGTTCGTAAAGCGAGGGTTTAAATGTGAAGACCAGCATACAGTTGTCACTTTCCCACTCTGTGCCAGCCCTGTTGCTTCAGTGCCAGTCCCAGCATTGAATTCCAGAGGAACCCAGTGTTTCACACGCAGTAAAGCATTTAATGAATATTTCTCATATGTCTGACTTGTTTTCTACATCAAATTGTTTAAAAAACTCTGTATTGGAGAGTAATATACATATGGAAAAATCATAAATGTACAACTAGTGAGATTCTCACAGATTTTATTTTTTGTTTTAAAGGGTGTACTAAGAATTAATCCAAAGAAGTTTCATGAAGCCTTCATTCCTTCCCCGGTGAGTCCAATAACTTTATAATAAACTTAATGTCACAGTGAATTTTTTAGATCTGCTCTGAAACTGAAATCATATATCCTGATTGAAAAATAGAGTGGGAAAACAAAATTGAGAATGGGCAAAGATTTGTTTCAGATTTAAATAAACAAAATTTGCCTTTGGTTCACCACCCTTTCTGCCAGTCTTAAAGTCCCACAGCAGATGAGGGGCCGGCGCTTGTTATGAGGCTGCAGGGCAGCTGGACCCAGGCAGACTGCCCGCCAGCTCGTGTAATTGGATGCCCTTGGTTTAGAACTTAAAAGGATGTATGGCTTTTCCCACTGATTTAAGTTAATCTTTCCTAAACCAGTATGCTATCACCTTTCAGTGTACTGCATGAGCTAATGTGAACATTTGTCCAAAAATAGTGTGTGATACTTTTTTTTGGTCAAAGTTTCTCACTTCACTTTCATGCAGGTGATGGGCTACAGACTGTCTCTTCCATCCACAGCCCATTCGGAGAGGCCTCTCCAGTTAGAGCCAGGTCACACTGCCTTGTAGTTAGCAGCAGGTCTCTGGACACGCTTCCATGGGAAGCTGGAAGAGAAATATTTTTCAATTTCTGGCTTAACTTTTCCAGGATGCCATAGGACAGCTATAGAATTATAGATTTTTCACAGTGGAAGAGACTGTGGGGATGAACTTCTGCTTATAGATGAGTAAATGGAATACCTCATTCAGTTAGTGCGTTTCATAGGTGAAATGCCAAGTTTGGTGAGGGTGTACATCCAGTCATCTGTTTCATAGGTGTGATAGTGTGGTTGTTGTTGTTATAGTAACTTTAAGACCTGTTCTCGTGCTCTTACTTAGTGCCTTTTCCCCTTGCCTTCTGGAGGCCAAGGAGTCACTTTTGTATCCAAGTTCAGGTCTTACTCTTTGGATTAATTAAAAAGCACCACCGATATGTTGCATTATTCTGTCTGAGTCACCCTGTGTTCCTGTGACAGGACAGAATGTATTTCCTGACCCTGGGACCTGAGTTGTGGAAGTGAGGGTCAGCTCTGAGGTGGTGACTTAGCTGCGGGAACAATTCTGTCATACAGGGAAGAGTAGATTATGTGAGTGTTAGGCTTCAGTTTGCTGAAGAAGGAGGCGAAGATCATGCAGTGGAATTGTAAAACTACCCACGAGCGTCTCCTAGGAAGGCAGTGTTGGAGATGGAGAAGCCGTCTCTCAGAAGTCCTGCACCACCATCATTTTCTCTACTTTAGAAAGGCTTTCATCAGTTGGAGGGGCTTGATCTATTAGGAGCTCTTGTGTGTGAAAAACATGGATTTTTAAGGATTTGAGTCACACTCAGTACAGTAAGGAGTTTGTCCCCAGTGTCAGTTGTGAACTGAGCAGATTTCAAACCTCACCTTTTTTGCACACTGAAGTTTATCTTCATTGATTTGAGTGACAGGAGAGCAAACAGCAATTAAAAATGTTACTGCTAGCCTTTTCTCTTCCCCAGGTGCACAGTGTTGAAGTTTTCTAAGGTAAGTCCCTATTAGGTCAGCACCTAACAAGTGTGAGGCCTAGGACAGGAGGCACACATACCTTATATAAAATATTGAAAAATTGCAAATTGCACTAACAAACTGCCCAGTAAAAAATATTTATGACAAAGTATGTTCCTTGCCAAGTATGCCTCCGTGTACCTGTGCTGTTGAAATGTAGAATTCTCAGATTCCTTGGTGCTCCGTGCTGAAACGTGGAAAGGGACTGCCTCTGGGCTGCCCTCTTCTCTCTGAAAGCCTTGCTCCCTGTCCTCTGTGGCTCCCTTGCTGTTAGTGAGGGCTCTTGCACATACGTGGGCATCTTGTGCCTGTGTCTAAACTCTCCCCACACCCCTTAGAAACACCTGTCCCTTAGGTGCCACCAGCAGGCTTGGGGCTGATTACTCCAGGGGCGAATAAGCATTTAGATCTGAGAATTCCTTGCCTGATAGAGAAGGGTGTGGGACTGGGTTAGGTTCCTACAAGTTAGGTGAATGTACTTTACTTTGCAAATGCTGTATCTCTGAGGATTAATCTGGCTTGTTAAAGAGAGCTGGAAAGTAAAAGCAAATGTTAGTGATATTTCAAAAGCTCACAGTTGTTCTGGCCCAGGATTTAGCTCAGTGGTTCAGTGGTCCCGCCACCTGCCTTGCAAGTGCAAGGACCTGAGTTCGATCCCCGGTACAAAAACAAGCAAACAGTTGTTCTTCTACTCTAAATTGTATTCCAAGCATATTTTATTTAGAAATTTTTAGACAGTTGTGATGTGAGGACTGGCTTATTTCTTTTTTTTTTTTTTTTTTTTTTTTTTTTTTT